AAAAAAATTACCAATGATTGCAAAATATGGTCAACAAATAATGGAGAAAAAATACAATGGCCATTTGTCATGAATATAAGCTACTGCTGAAAAGTGTTCATCATATTTCTGCCTTCCCTAAGCCTAATACAAATGTGGAGAAAGTGGCATGACCCATTGAGCTGACATTAAAAGCTTTAAATTGAATTACATTGGCAGAAACCTTCAAAAATTGTCTTGGAGGAGAAAAAAATTCATGACAGAGCATAGCAGATGTATGAAATTAAGAGCGTTTAGGAAACATTATCTTTGCTCTATGATGGGAAATGTTTCTAATTGCACTCACAGGGTGCATTTAAGATGTGTTTTTATTTAAGAAATGTTTTTTATGATCTGTAACGGATTTTCTGCAGAAATATATGGGCAAAAGAATAAAATGCATATTAAGATACGTGTTTTTTGCAACAATCAACTCCTCTATTTTCATTGTTCAATGAAACAAACTGTAAAGGCAAAATTATTGAATCTATAAGAGTAGGATGAAAAGAAGGACTCTCATTGGACAACAAGGAACCTGTACCATACTGATGGATGCAATACTCCAGTGCTCATGGGTGGTCTTATATCTCATATCACAATTGGACTATGAGGGTTTCCCACTACATATGCACCTTACTATATGTTGAATGTTACTGCTGATCTTTTCCTGGCTACTTAATACTAATTAAATCTAGTAATTCAGATGCAACAGGAAATACTGTATGTGGATTTCAGCATTATTAATAATGTCTGTGCTGCGAGGCTTTCCCAGCCAGAATTCAACGTTCAAAATCCTCTTCACACAGTGAAAACTATATAAAAATGCAATGGAATTTCTTTTCTTGCATATTGCAGAATCTCAATTAGTTCCTGCTGTGTCATAGACTCCCATAGATTTAATATATATTGAATCAAATTTAAATATGAGCTATCTTCTAAAATTACACTTTCTTTTTGTCTTTACCAAGAGGCTCATAACTGGAGTTTTCCTAATGAATAAATACAATGTTCAAGGTTTTTTTACTGATTTAAATGAGAGTTGTCAGTTCAAGGCCAAATAGGACTGTCCAATCAATGCTGTAGACTTACAGCATGGAGTCTAATCTGGTTTCTTTACACTGCATACTTTACCTGATTTCCATTATGATGGGACTTCTCTGCTTTTTTCCACACAAAGGGAAAAGTTCATACTTACAGATGCACATAATAACCCAAACATTACAAGGAATCTGTCCAAAGTGGAATATAGATGGAGCAATTAATTCCCTTGTCTCTAGAGGGGATTAAAAGTGATGAATTTATTCTACTTGGACATTCTGCATTTCCAGAATGTTTACTATTTCAAACCATAATCTCTGAGACTTGCACAGGCCATGTTTCTAACACTCCTTCTCTCATTGGCTTCTGTGGAAGACAGCACACTTAGATATATTTCTGGTCAGAGCTGATACATTTGGGTCTAAGCTGCTATGCATCTCACCCAGACAGATATCTTTTTTTCTCATTTGACAGGTCTTTTCAAGCACAGCTTTTATATTCTATGTCAAATTTCTTTACTCTGTCTCAAAATGTACAGAATCAGAGAATCATGGAATCATTTAGGTTGGAAAAGTCCTGTAAGATCATCAAGTTCAACCATTACCCCAGCACTGCCAAGTCCACTGCTAACTTATGTCCCTAAACAGCACATCTACATGTCTTCTAAATGCCTCCAGGGATGGTGACTCAACCACTGCCCTGCCCAAGCCTGTCCCAATGCTTGACAACCCTTACAGTGAAGAATTATTTCCTCATACCCAAACCTCCCCTGATACAACTTGAGGCCATTTCCTCTTGTCTTATTTATTGTTACTTGGGTGAAGAGACTGACCCCCACCTCGTTACAGTCTCCTCTCAGGTAGTTGTACAGAGTGATAAGGTCTCCCCTGAGCCTCCTCTTCTCCAGTCCAAACAACCCCACTTCCCTCAGCCGCTCCTCATAAGATGTGCTTCAGAACCTTCACCAGTTTTGTTGCTCTTCTTAGACGTGCTCTATCACCTCAGTCAATATAGTCAACTATTTGAGAGGTCATCTGTTTGTACACAGAACTGGATGTTTGCACGTGGGACTAAGGCTGCAAGGGTACTGGAATTTGATATAATTTATTGAAATTGCTTTTGGGGAACAGGATACTGGCACTTTCTACTTGCATATCACTCTGCATGTTGAAAATGTTCTGTGAACATGCCTCTGTTGTCTGCCGTTGCTGTGCAGCATCCCTGCCTTAGAAGTGGAAAAAATCTAGACCACAGTGATATTCTGACGACCTCATAGATTTACTCCATACCCCAGATCATGAATCAGGAGTTAAAGCTATAAAAGCCATGTCAATTCATTTAAACTAAATATACAAACCCACTTTGCATCTGCCAGCCTTAGATGGAAATAGAATAAAATATTTCTTTGTTGTATGTACAAGAAAATAAAACGTTTACTAATATCAGAACTCGTTCAGCCTGTTAATAGTGAAAACTGACAAGATCTGGATGATTATCTCTGACATAAATTTGAGCAGGGAAAGGATTTGTTGCAATGGAAACTCATGCTAATGGAATAAAAATGACCCAAGTTGTCTGACGGATGTCAGACTCAGTGGAGTTCAGGATGACTTAGAAACATTCAGTCTGCATCAGAGAAAACAAATTGACTGAATGAAATAACCTCTCATTTGGTTATATATTGTTTTGTCACCAGCAGTAAAACTGAATAAATAAAAGAATACAAAAACACTTTCTCAAATTTCTCCAAATGAAATCATCCCACTACATGAGCATGTTTCAGGTTCATGGCTTATGCTCAGAAAGGGGAAAAATATCAGTAAAAGAAGTTATATGAATTAACTCAGGATTACGATTATTCTATTGCAGTCACAATAAAGTTTGTGTTTTCATTTCTTTCCTGGAGAGTGTCCACCGGTAAAAAGAATATGCAATGGGTAAATAACCCACCAAATACTGTATATGTAAAAGACAAGGAAGACAAACATTCTTCGGAGTGCAAAATTCATTTCAAACACAGTAATGGAGAGGAACTGGTAAATAAATACTTAGAAAACCGAGACCACAAATTAAACAGAGAAAAGGTTGCTAGCTAGGAACAGAGATCTGATTGCTAATTGTATCAAACAACACATAGCTGTCAGGAAAAACTGAGGAAGAGTGCAAGTCACGGGCCAGAAAAAATCATCCTGGAGTATTGCAAATGGCCCAGAGGCTGTAGGTTGGGGAACATGGGATTAGTTTAGGACTTAATGGCTTTGTGAAGGCTACATGTGCAGTTAATGCATTAGACCCACGAGATCCAGGCCCAGATTTTCCTTTTATTAATACTTGCCCACGAATTGCTTTGTATTTAAAATGATTTAAGAGCATAGTTTTTCAAAATGAATACTAATTTCAAAATTAAAAACGAAAAAGACAGGACCGATTATTTTCAATGAATTAGTTTTATCTTTGAATCAGGGAAATTAGGTAACCTGCTGGAAAACATAATTATGTAGTATAGTTATATATATTATATATACATTAGGGCAAACATTCATTTTGCCCCGATAAAGCATGAATGAATCAGTGTGCCAGCATGCAGCAAATGAAATCCTTCTCATTCTTTGAAAAAAAATCCCTTTCAAAGTTGTTATTTCAATAAGCCATTAATTTCTGGGTTAGCCCATGTGTTGAAGTGCCAAAAGCCACATTGAAAAGGACTATATATTTCATTCAAAACAAGTAAAATTAGCAAAAAAATAAAAGAACCTTACCCTTAGCCTGAAGAAATCTTTATAGCACTCATTTGGAATTCCTGTAGTTAAAAGATAATTCATTAATGGTTTTTATCCAATGTTGTATTTTAGAAGATAATAGACAAAAATACTGAATACATTTCTATCATGCACTTCAGTGTCTTCAGAAAACTCACTGGACATAAGAAGAATCCTTCTAAGACTTTTATTCATACCAAACCTTATGGTGTGCATTTAGTGCTAGAAATGAACACAGAGATTGAAGAGATTCTCTGGTCCCCTGCAAGTGTCATTAGCCTTGTTATGTTGCTGGAAACTGAGGCACAAAACAAGGGGCTATGTGGGAGCAATAAAAGGCTATGTGGGGGCAATAAGAGAGCCACAGTTTCAAGAGCAAAGCCATCTCACTCCCAGCATGTATAACTGAAGCCTACTTATCCCTCAGATTCAGCTGGATTCTCCCTTGCCATGCAGTCTTGATCCCTTCTGGAGCAAGCAGCAAGGACCTCAGATTTCTGGAGAAGAGTCTCACACCATGAGAAAAGAGATACTGTGTTTTTCTTCAGCATGCAAACAAGCACCAGCCACTGAACCTAATAGTTCAGTGAATTATGAACCATCTATTTTTCTCAGTATTTTTGTATTACTGACATGTAGAGAGAGTTTTTTTAACTGTTTCCCCAGATTACACACACACGTTTGACGCTGGTGTGAAGGTAGTGCAGTACGGTACTTATTATGTCTCCCTTTAAAACATAAAGTACTCACCTCCCGCACCCCCATCGCTCCTGGGGAGCTGGCAGCAAATGGAACCAAAAAATGTCAGGGTTCATTAAGCACACAAGCATTCTGGTAAAATCAAAGATCACCCTGGAACCCCCTTGAACATATTATAGTTACCATTAAAATCATCATCATAGTATTTGAGGTTAGTAAAACATATTGCTTAGGCTATAAAACATTCTAAACTAGTATCCCAAATGTCTTGCCTCAAGCAAGCACTTAAATTAAAGTTTCAGACAGCTGGCACTGGAATCAAAATAACAGTTTTACACAAAGAGACTGGATAAACATGATTATTGTTTTCATAATTTATTTTGTCAATGTGCAGTATTGTGCTTTGATCCATCCATTGTACTTGGGCATGATTTCTTTCACTTTTCAACAGGTAACTCTATTTCACGGTGGGGTTTTGTTTTCCAGAAAGCAATCCTAATTGATCTGCTGCTCTTGAATAATCTAATCCTTAATTAGTTGAGTCTGAACACTGAGAAAGGCAGCATTGTGTGCTTTCATCAATTTCCATAATCTGGAATTTTTGTTTACTTGCCTCATAAAATCTTTGGGTTTTCAAGGAGAGGCGAACGTAACAATATCACTATGCAGAGGGTGGAAAAAGGGACAGTTTTCTGGATCTTTGGTACAGAATAACTGCAGCAGCTACAAAGCCTTCTTAATTACGACTAAACCCATTTCCTATTTACCTTGAGTAACAGCTTTAAGAAGATGTTAGTCCTGCATTTATTCCAGTTCAGCTGCTCCCTGCCTCTGGTGCTGTGAAGACGATCTGCTCACCTTTAAGTATCTCTTTAGTCCAGAACCTCGCAAACTAGAGGCATGTTGAAACATATAAAGAGCCAGAAATCTACTGCAGCAATCTCTTAAGCAAACACACATTTTCAGAGGCAAATCCCAGTTGATTTTACATTTAATGCCTTCTTCCAAAGCCAAAATGTGGCTTCTTCAACAAATCTCAGAAAGATTTCTTCACTGTTTTGCACTGGTGTTTAACCAACAGAAGATCTTCCCCAGAATGCAAACCTTCATCCAGTGTTGACACACACAATTAGAAAAGAAGAACCAGGGTTAAAAGAAGATCCTGCTTTGCAGGCACAGGAAGGTGTTTGGACACTGATGGAGAGTGAAACAGCACTCCCACAGTTCATGTTTTCTTTTCTTTTGTAGTCATTTCTTATAGAAGCATTTTTAAATGTTAAAAACCATCTGATTTTAGTAAACACTTTTCTTGCAGGCCCCTTTGAATATTGTCAGTACAGATCTTTCACTTAAATCGGAAATTTAACTATAACATCAACAGGAACTGGGCTTTCCTGCCTCAGTTTACACAAATGCAAGTTGCAGATATATAAATATGTTTCATTTGTACAGCATTCATCTGTTTCAAAGGGATGTTATAGAGCCTGTCAAGACTTACAAATGACTTTGAGTCATTTTGTCGAAAGCATTTCATGGGCAAAACGCAGCTCTCTCACAAATATAAATTAGGAATTACCCTCACTGAATTTAGTGGGATCACTATAAATTTATTGCACATATGGGACTGAGAGCAAAACTCGTCTCTGTTTAAGCAAGCTAATTGCACGGGTTTTGCTAGCATGAAAAAGATTTATCAAGCCAACGCAGACCAAACAGGTGCTGTTCAAGACTGCCCTTTGCTTTCCACACCTGCAGTAAAATGACCTTTTTTTTCTCTGATGGGAAGTCCACATGGATATATGACCACCAGGACACCAAAAAGTATAACCAAACTTTCTGCTCCGGAAGGCAACACATTAGCCATCACCTATTGCCTTAAACAGACCTTGACTGGACTGTGGTCTCCAGAGGTCAGTGTGTTAAGACATTGCATCAGTGCACAGAAAATTTTGGACACAGATCAATGGAAGAATGAGATGTTGAAAAATCTAAGAAAATTGCCTATAGTGACATTCAGCCCTTTCCTTTCCTTCCTTGGACATGTCTCTGTTGCTTTTAATTAAGCTCTCAGATTCATAGCTTGGAGAACTTTAATAACTGCAGAAAGTGCTTGCAAGGCAAATTTTTCACTTCTAAGAAAGATCCTTGGAATAAACGTTACCTTCTAATTTATAGGTAAACTTAACCTGATTTTACCTTTACTGTAATATATTGCATGGCCATTTGTGAGCAACACACTGATGACATAAAAGATTTCAACTTTTAATAAATGGTGAAAATGTTGGATCGTGCACCTCCACCACACTGTAAGCATAGTGCCTGCTGATGGATTAATCTAATTAACAAAGGTGAAGGTTTATAATTGGGGTTAACTAGAATTTAACTGGTCATTGTTCATACCCCCCATTGCATTGTCCCCTAAGTAACTCACTCTGGTAGCCCTCCATGGTCCCTCGACCCCAGTATCAAACTCGGGGATCAACCAGCTTCAAGGAAAAGTAGATACAATCATATTTCCAAGACTGCAATAACAGCAGAACTTAATGGTGTGATATTTTTATACTGTTTGGGAAAAGGACCCTATTTTTTCTTACTCATAAGCCCAGAGTATTTTTAAATAGTTCAAGTCCCTGTAGTACTTCACAGTTTGCAGTGCAGTTTAAAAAGTAATACATCTTTTCTTAGATGTACCCCAGATTCTGCCTTTTAATAGACATGATAATGAGATTCTGTGTCTTCATTTCCCAGTGTGCAGAAGGCTCAAATAAATCTTTGATTGTTCACAACCCTGGAGAAGGCTCCCAAGCCCAGGAATGTAATGATGTTTCTCTAAACAATCATTGCTAATGAAATTTAAGTGTATTTAAAATATATAGATGCACATGTGTATATATATTAGTACTATCAGAATTGGGTTTTATTCATTTTGCTTCGTAAATTTTGAATCTGATTGCAGTAAAAGTAACTCTCAAGAGATTCATTTCTAGGAGAAGGAAGGTCCTGAGTTATTTCTCTGACCTGCAAGACACACATTGAGCTTCTGATTTTGAGTGAACTCCCTCTAATAAGGAAATCAAGGATGCTTAAAAGAGCCATTCAGCGACTTCTTCATAAGATTAGGGACCATGTCCCCAGACCACTGCTGAAAGCATCATGCAGCTGACTGCAGTCAAACTGTTATAACAACTTTGAAAGAACAGGGTGTCCAAATAACTCAAAGAACATTAAAGGGCAAATCAGAGGGGGCACAGGGATGGGTAATAAAGGGTTAAGAAGGGGGTGCTTCAGAATGAAAACAGTGAGGTTTCTATCAGTTTTCATTACCTGAGCATTAGTTTAACCTTCTTTTGATAATGAGACTAGATCAGAAAATGCTTCCATACCACCATCCTTTTTAAAGTTTACATCTAAAATGCCCCTTAGGCTGATACCTTTCTCTGTGTCCATGCTACTAGTCATCGCTATGTGCAGAGCTCCTTGCACCCATAGCTGATGAGACTGCTAATGGGAATTCTTGCACAGCAAAAGCATGGAGAAGCCAAAACAATCATCAGCCTTACAGACAAGAGACCTAAGACAATAAGGAGATATGGCACTCAAACCTAAGCTGTAGCAGCTAGGATTGGCTTGGTGGCTCATTATAAAATCCAAACTTGGCAAGGTTCAGTGAAATGTTACTCAATATCAGTCAAATGCACAAAGAAACCTGGGCTTGGCTATACGTGCTCTGGGCACCTCTAAACCTCTTTGTCAAAAGAAATGAAATACTGTGGTTTCCTTTGGCTACCGTCAGACTTATGGGTAACTGCATTCCAAGATAAAACCCATAGGGAGCCTTGTTATAGGAAGTTAAACAGCCATCAGCATTCACCTGTTGAGTCGTCGTTCTGCATACTTTGATGCAGATTGCTGAATAGCATTATCGATGTTCAGCAAAGACACATAACATACTTGTCCTCAGGAAAAAAATGCTAATGACTTACACCTTCTGTAGCTGTTAAATTGGTTTTAAAGGTAACCCAGCCTGAATGGCATCACTTTATTTCAGGACTCAAATGTGTTGACAAAACTCCTAGCTTATTTCCATTCCTTTTATATTCATATGTATCCCAGCCATTTTAAGGAAACAAATGATCGTGCCCATTCCTAATTTTTACCAAAACCTGGCACTCTTCAGAAATTCTGCAGGAAAAGCATTTTGATTGTAATGTTCCTCCTGACATAAAGAAGCCTGGTAGGGCTTTGGATATCACTGACTTCTAAAGGTTGTATCAGAGAGGTTTACATAAGATAGCAACTTGCAAAGCCATAGTGAAGATAGAAATCTCATTCCTAGGCATGAGAACCCCTTGAGTATGAAGGGTGGGAGAAAAAAGGGATAAGAGAGCTGCCACAGCCTTCTCTCCCCCTGAGATCATTCCCTGATCTGAAAAGAACTCCCTCTGCCCCACAGATTTTATATGATTGCATCAATATTTTCTCATTAATAATTTTCTCTTTCTAAGAAAAACATTAAATATTTCTGCCTGACTGCAGGACGTAGAGCTGAGCTGCTGGTGCTTGGTTCTCATGTGAAAAATAGAGAACTAGACTCTTCGTGGTGGCAAGTGAGCATTACCCCACTGCCTGCATTACACTTCACCTATGAGGAGGTTGTGTTTGGCCCACAGAGCAATCTTTCAGATAATTTTAGCATAAATCGTGTCTCCTACTTAAGCAGTGGCAGACATCACAGGAGAAACTGCTAACTTCTAAAGCCAAGATTCAACAGGATCAAGTGAGTGTTGATTTTATAACAAAACTTGATAAAGAAAATTGGAGTTACCTATTAACTGGAACATTTAATGATGACACAATGATGCATGCCTATATCTTGGAGGAGGTTTCTCTCAATTCTCAATTTCTTTCTTCTGCATATGGCCTGAAAGTAAATCAGAGAAAGGCAATCAAAAAGAGAAGGGAAGTAAAAACAGAAGAAGAAAAACCCAAACCAAACACAGAAAGAATGCCCCCAAAGCCAGTTGATTCTTGGAGTGGTGCTGGATAATCAAAAAAGCTGTGGCTGACTATTGTTTACAAAGGCAATATGGCCTGAGAGGTTTTGAGCTCTGGTAAGCCAAGACCTGGTCCTATCTGGCAAACGGCTGCAGCCACTTTATAATTAACAGCATATTCCAGCCTCGGTTCAGTTTCTATAGATGGAAAGGTGTTTCCCAAGGAAATCAGAGTAGGGATAGAATAAGGAAAGAGGGAAAAGAAGAAAAGGGGGAGGCAGGGGGAAGGTGAGTTCAGGAGGGCAATGAGGCGGGGGTTAACAACGCTGCTTAAGATCAAGGGCTGAAGTGCTGAGATGCTGCCAGACTTGAAAACTTTAATTTACTGTCACTGTTAGCCCCCTTTGAGGTTTATGGTGGTATTTATACACACAGCATCAATCACATGAAACAAGGAGGGGATTTATAGTTTGTTTTAAAGACTGTAAATGCAATGTAATGCAAATAGCATGCCTCATGGGCATTTACATTTAATGGGAAAATTACAGATGCAAAAGATTGGTAGAACAAATTTTAAATTGACTTTATTACATCTAGTGCTTTTCAGAGAATACTATTAAAAAAAAAAACAACATGAGGAGATATGGTAATGGAGTTCTACACTGTAGCTTGACAGCTTAAATTCCACTTAACTGACTTTGCTTGCATCTTTCTGTTTACATTACTTCTTCCAATAAGTTTGGCTGGCAAAATCTCTGGATCATAAACTGATTAGAAGCTTTGATTCTGTTTTGTTTCCTTTTTGGGGTTGGAATATGTAATGTGTAAAGCTGATTGTATCTCGATAACTGTTTTTAACTAAGGTTCATCATCAGAATTGCTTAATCTAGGCACAGTCAGGAATAGCTCTTCAAATCTATTACCGCCTTAATATGTGACTATACATGCATCCTCCTTAATTTGTATAATCTTCCTGTATCTCCCCTATATCTCTATAGATACAAGAGAAAAAGATGGCTGCAATACCTTGGTCACTGGTGGAGTGCACATTCAGAACTAATCACAGCTATTTGCAGAAAGCCCATTCTCTCTCAAAATAGCTCTATTTCCCAGTATTCCCCTGTGGCTCCGAACACTTCTTCTGGAATGAGGATTGTTTGCTGTTGGGGTTAGAGGTTGTTATCATCAGTTGTTGACTTATGGTAGATCCATCTGAAAGGTGTTGGTGGGCCTCAAACTCACCTTCAGCAGACCAGATGAAGCCCTGGTTCAAACAGGTGCAAACTCTACTTGCTTCAGGGAAGCTGTACCCAATTACACAAGGGCTGATTTGTTTTTAACACCCTATAATGATTGCTGTATTACCCTCCTATTCAGGCCTCAAATGAGGAAAGAATTTTAGGTGTTTTTTAAGCCCATTCCTATTAAGTGAAGTACACATGTTAGGTTTTAGTCTGTTTTAAAGCTGCAGCCTCTCTACGTGCAGAGACCTGCATTTATCTGTCAGGAGTCTTTCACCCTTCGTTTCTCCAGATTTCCAAATCTTTACTATCACCTAACATACCATCCTTAAAAACCTTTTCCAGCCCTGCTCATCATACTGTATTTTAACCAGCGCATAAGCAAATGAGGACTTGACCTTCGAAGAACATAAAGCACCTATGTGGTCAAAGATTACTAAAGCTTAGCTTATTAGGATTGTGTCTTTCCAAAATTTCAAGCAGAACCTCCCTGAAATGCCACCCTCTTTGTTTCTATTCATCACTATACATACACATACATCCTTGAGATATCCTTTAAACTTTTTATCACCAAAAAGCAATGATTATTGAAGAGGATGATTTGCCATTCTTTAGCAATTCAGCTAATTCAACCAAGCTCAGTGGGATAGTTATGATTTTCAGATACCCCTCCAGAACTTTCTTCTGTGTCCCTATTTTCAGCTTCTGTAGGTCTCCCCTTCATCTAAATAGTGATACCTTAAAGTAGACTAATACCAAACTATGTGGCATCTCAGTGCATTTACTAGTGAGGAATTGAGTCAGATTCATGTTTATTCTTTGTCCAGTTCTGAAAGATATATTCTCCAGGTGTTGTCACCCATAACAAATACAGAATGACAGAGAGCAGTCTATATTAACATTTGAGCTTATACAAACATGCACTGTTTAAGCAATTCACCTGAGATTGAGTGCCTTGCTGTTGTGACTTTTGTTTAAGGCTGTAATCCCATGTGATGACATTCTGCTGTGCAGAAGTAGTACATTAGCACCATGCTTGGCAATGTCATGATGATGAGGAAACCATAGACTCCGGAAGCAAGAGCAGAAGGGAAACAAACTTTCACACTCAGGAACCATTAATGAAGTAAACACACTTGAATGTTGACAGGTAACTCACAAAGCCACCTACCAGATTATGTTCCAAATTGAAGCAACCCTCACAAACAATGCAAGCTTATCCGTAAGCAGAATTTAGAATCATTTTAAAGTTAGATTATCCTGTGATAGCCATGAAAAAACGCCTGAGCAGACACAATGGCTTCAAAACAGAGATGGAAAAGGCTTCTTTCCTTCTTGTGTGGAAGGCTGTGCTTCCGTTTTATATCTGTTTCTGATGATCCATAAAGAAACTAAATTTACTGCAAGGGTGCACATCATAATGCAGAATCCTAATCCTACAACACTGCTGAATGTCATTACCTTACCTTTAGGCACTATAAGTATCACTGTTTTCAATAAACTGCTCACAAATTTTTACCATAACTGGAAGAATTTGGAGTGCTGAAGCTAATATTATGGTACTTGTGAACATACACAGACTTATGTCCCTGTGACGGTAGGTAAATCCATGGATTCATGTGTGATCAGTTGTCAGAGTCTCACAAAACGAGTGAATTGTTTGTTGCTGTGAAAGGCTATCTAGACAAACGTGCACAAATCACAATATTTGGATCAATTTCACAACCCCCAAATGACAGGTTTCTGCAGAATTTACTGAAAGGGCAAATAAAATTTCCCTCCACCCCCAAACCATCTTTCAATGAGAGCTGAGACGTTGCTTCTGGAGCTCAGAAAATTACACTGGCAAGATGCGCACAGGATGGAAAACATAACTAAATATTAGACCCTTAAGTTTCAAGTAGTTTTGTCTTTCTTGGTAAACATTTTCCACATCTCCAAATACAAACACTATTCAAAGTTTAGCCCCAGCTTCTGAAAGAGACCGGTTACACTGCAGCACTCGAGGACTGTCATGTGAATTTAAAGACAAATACTGTCCAGATAGCACATACCAGATGCCAGTTACTATGTGGTAGGATATTCCCTCACCTTCTGTTTTTGTTTTATGAAAGATTGTGTTCTTTTAAAATGGCAGGTTCCCTCCATTCCTTCTTCTGTGCTCACAGTGAGACGTGTCATCTGATACTAATTTGTACTTGCTTTGTGTTTTGACTTAATTTGATTAATAACTATATCCTTTAATGGCAGTGTGACTTAACAATATGCTATTATGTTGGTGCACTGCACTTCGGCACCTAGGAGCAATTCATCTGCATCACAGCTACATTTTGAAACTAATTCAAAGAGGCATTATTCTGTACCTCTTTTACCACAGGGTAGAGGTCTGCTCTTCTACTGGAATTGCCAGTTTAGAGCTGCAGGCCAAATCTGTGTTGAATTTATCCAAAGACTTCTTAGCAGTCACATTCCAGCCTGAATATCTATAGAATTCTTTTACCCCTTTTCTCACCCACATATTATTGATTGTCCTTTGTGCCTTTTAAAGTTCCCTTACACATTCATATTTTAGGTATTTTAAAGAGTTTAGTAGTACAATACTTCAGGCAATGACAAAAATGAAAGGAGAAAGAGAGAAGCTAGCAAGAAAGAATTTATCACAGCCCAAATTACAAGTATAACTGAACTTTATGGTGTCTTAAGAGATAACACATGTTTTCTGTTGTATGGGGTGAAACTAGTAAATAAGGTTTAACATGTCTTCAGGGAGGCAGGGAAAACCAGTGTATTCCCAGCAGCTCCAGCTAAACTCAGGAGAAGCTGTAATTGCACAAAACCAAATGTGGATTATCAACATCAACACCAGAGAAGCACCTCAAAAAGAGAGAAAAGAGAGAAAGCCAAAACTTACCCTGCAGGAGTGGTAGGTTTTTCTGCTCATGTTATTGAAAAGCTTCATTCCTTAATGAGAAGGGAGAGGGAATAAAGGAGAGGTTTCTTCAAAGATTTCAGGTCTAAAAGAATGGGACTACTCAAAGCATGGCAGAGAAACCAGCATTTGGGAAAAAGAAGAGCAAGTGTTGGATAGAAAAGGGATGTATCAGAGCTGAATTTCCCTATTGCTTACCTGGAGTCAGTAAGTGCTGTTCAGGATTCTTGCTTCTGTAAAAGAACGATTTAAAGTAACATGGTCCCACAAAGCAAACCTATCTGAGCATTGAGGCAATGAAAGGATCAAACATTTACAAATAAATAAATACATTTTAATAATAGCCCTTACAGTGGAAATAATGACAGTAAAGTTTATACACGATGGTTTCCTTTGTATTAGACCAATGTTTGCCACATGCCAAAACATAAACCAGATTGCATAATATGTAGGTTTTTCAAAATTTCCTCAGATTAGTTTTTTATTAATGCCTGTCAACAGCAAATGATAGGCATGTGTTGCATTAACAGCCACTACAAGCCATGCCAGTACTGACTTCTCTGCAATTCTAAAGCCTGAAGGAAGCTTAAAAGCCCATTGACTGAAGAGGAACCAAGCTCATTTGCATTACATTTCTGAGGTTTTTACCTTCTATTAGTTGCTTTGTATATTTTCACTAATAATAGTCAATAATTACAGGGATATTAAGAATCATCTGGAATAAACAGATATGATTTTCTTCTCCAAGGTGTTCCAGCCATCTCTGGTTATTTTTAAACCTCCTGACTTAGATAATTTTGGGAAATTATTTTCTTTTTATTTCTCTGTGTGAATAGTTGAAAAGAGCTCTCTGTCTCCATACCTCCACCCTCTACCCCTCCTGTTCGTGATAATCTGTAAAATAAGTTCATATTAAAGCAAAGTAGTAGAAAGAAATTAGATTCCATATCAGTAACTGGTATGAGTTAGACATGTGTTGTCCGGTTTAGAGTCTACATAAACACATAATTTATAGATTGGAAAAAGACTCAAAGCTGTTAATGTTTCAATTTCTTGAACATCAAGAAATAAACATGATTTATGGACCCTTAAAAGAAAATCAAGACTAAAAGTTTTTAGATGTGAAATTACTTGTAAAACACAAGTGTCTAACTGGTGAAACGAAAGAGTTTAAAATTGTTTTTTCTATTAGGTAACATTCCCAGCATAAAACACAAATGCTGTAAAATTCTGCAAAATTCCCACATTAAAAATGGACATTCTATGGTCGTAATTGTTTTTTTCACATCATCAGATAACTACTTAAGTCTCTAAAATTTAAAATCTATCAGACCAAAACGAATTAATCTAAAAAGACCCCACTAGTAGGAATATCTGGGGTTAGAAGAACATCCCAAACATTGATAACATGGTATTCAGGGAATTTATTAGTTAGGTCTACAGCTGTTGGCCTGCTATTCAGCTGAGCTGTATATTGCTCATATACATTTCATGGCAGGAGCATTTGATTTTGATGAGTGGAAAGTCCATGAGAGTTTGGCCCAGACTGCACAAATGTAAAACAGAACTCCTCTGTGTTGGGCTGCATATTTCTGAATTCAGCTTAATTAATCTTGCTGACACAAATCCAAGGTTTTGGTGAATGTCCGTCAACCTCAGAGGAATTTTATCCAAGGACATGAACAGAATTAAGACTAACAGATAGGGGTCAGCTTTAGGAAAGACCCGTTATCTGTGCATGTGCCACTCTTCATCAGGCAGAATATATTTAATAAAAGAACGATTTTATTTTTTTTTTCCCATTCTGGTCAAACTGAAATCAAAGTCAATATTCTGATTGGCTTCAGCAGGGGTAGGAGTTGGGTTTCTGTGATTTTAAATTTTTAGGGTTATTTTCTTTAAATGCTTTCTCTGCCTCCTTGACTCCCTTTTTTATTTCATGGATGTTGTTCATGTTACTGTGACTCTGGAGCCAGCCAGGCATTGCACCCCCCAGCTCTGCCCTTCTCAGTCATGAGATGCTTGGTACTCATTCAAGCACAGCTGCTATGGGCAAAGGTGGCAGACCTCGGACACATGTACTTCAAACATGGGTTAAGATACCAAGCGAATTGACTTAACATTTAGCATTCATCTTCCCCATCCCGTCCACACAGAGCACTCCTTTACAGGAAGACA